AAACACGCTCTGTTCCCCCTCGGCTAATTCCACCAACATTCTCAATGGCGCAGCCGGTTCAGCAGAAATAAAACAAAACGAACTCACTTTATCGATGGAAGCGGGTTTTTGGGCGGCCAGGGAACGGGCCAAGCTGAGCACCGTGTTGAAGTAGAAGCCGCGGCCGGCTCCCTTCCCCAGCAGGTCCGCCATGTTGAGTGCCGGCTGCCGGACGGCGAGCCGGAGAGTACACATCCCACAACGCGCCACTGTGTCAAAACCCTCAGCTTCCAGAGAGTGAGGAGACCTGGAGCTGTAGCTGGTTAACAGGTGGCGGGGGGTGGGGGAAACATCCACATTTAAACATTTACCTTTATGAGTCATTGTTCCTTTTGTTAGATACTTGTTTATGAGTTAACATATTTTAAACAGACGACATATGCAGCAGATTCATGTTAATTTTGATCAGACAAAGAACTGTGGATGCTGGAGGTCTGGCAGCATCTGTGAAGAGAAAAACAGCATTAACATTTTGAATCCAGTGATCATTCTTTTCTCAATAGGTGATTATCCAATTCCATTTAAAAAAAAGACACATACAGGTCTGTTTCCATCATAGCAGAACAATGGAAGAAAAGTCATTGAACTTGAAACGTTAACTCTGTTTTCGATTCACAGATGCTGTCAGACCCACTAAGTTTCTCCAGCAATTATGTTTCATGTTAATTCTGAATTCAGCTTTGGGTCCCATTCTGAAAGTTTGTGTGTGGAATCAATGTAATGTAAATACCACTCCTGGCATTACTTCAAACAAGGGCCTTAACAGATATCTTTGCAGCATCCTTGAGCATGGGTGAGGTCCCAGAGGACTGGAGAATTGCTAAATGTTGTCCCCTTGTTTAAAAAGGGTAGCAGGGATAATCCAGGTAATTATAGACCGGTGAGCCTGACGTCAGTGGTGGGGAAGCTGCTGGAGAAGATACTGAGGGATAGGATCTATTTACATTTGGAAGAGAATGGGCTTATTGGTGATAGGCAACATGGTTTTGTGCAGGGAAGGTCATGTCTTACCAACTTGATAGAATTCTTTGAGGAAGTGATAAAGTTGATAGATGAGGGAAGGGCTGTGGATGTCATATACATGGACTTCAGTAAGGTGTTTGATAAAGGTTCCCATGGTAGGCTGATGGAGAAAGTGAAGTCGCATGGGGTCCAGGGTGTACTAGCTAGATGGATAGACAACTGGCTGGGCAACAGGAGACAGTGAGTTGTAGTGGAAGGGAGTTTCTCAAAATGGAGAACTGTGACCAGTGATGTTCCACAGGGATCCGTGTTGGGACCACAGTTGTTTGTGATATACATAAATGGTCTGGAGGAAGGTATAGATGGTCTGATTAGCAAGTTTGCAGATGACACTGAGATTGGTGGAGTAGCAGATAGCATTCTCGGAGAATGCAGCAGAATACGGATAGATTGGAGAGTTGGGCAGAGAAATGGCAGATGGAGTTCAATCCAGGCAAATGCGAGGTGATGCATTTTGGAAGATCCAATTCGAGAGCAAACTATACGGTAAATGGGAAAGCCCTGGGGAAAATTGATGCACTGAGAGATCTGGGTGTTCAGGTCCATTGTATCCTGAAGGTGGCAACGCAGGTCGATAGAGTGGTCAAGAAGGCATACGGCACGCTTTCATTCATCGGACGGGGTATTGAGTACAAGAGTTGGCAGGTCATGTTACAGTTGTATAGGACTTTGGTTCGACCACATTTGGAATATTGCGTACAGTTCTGATCGCCATATTACCAAAAGGATGTGGATGCTTTGGAGAGGGTGCAGAGGACGGTCACCAGGCTGTTGCCTGGTAATGGAGGGCGCTAGCTATGAAGAGAGGTTGAGTAGATTAGGATTATTTACATTCAAAAGACGGAGGTTGAGGGGGGACCTGATTGAGGTCTACAAAATCATGAGAGGTACAGACAGGGTGGATTGCAAGAAGCTTTTTCTCAGAATTGGGGACTCAATTACTAGGGGTCACGATTTCAAGGTGAGAGGGGAAAAGTTTAAGGGAGATTTGCGTGGAAAGTTCTTTACGCAGAGGGTGGTGGGTGCCTGGAACGTGTTGCCAGTGGAGATGGTAGAGGCGGGCACGATAGCGTCATTTAAGATGTATCTAGACAGATACATGAATGGGCAGGGAGCATAGGGATACAGATCCTTGGAAAATAGATGACAGGTTTAGATAGAGGATCTGGATCGGCGCAGGTTTGGAGGGCCGAAGGGCCTGTTCCCGTGCTGTAATTTTCTTTGTTCTTTGTTCTAAGAGTAGGGCAAGGTCACCCCAATGTTCTGAATTGATATTAATCCCTCAAGCAAGATCTGTGATTGCTAAAACAAACAATATATACAAATGAATTATTACCAGGTCACTCAGCTCCTCAAATCTGCTCAAATATTCAACAAGATCATGGTTAATCTGATTGTTCCACATTACCGTCTACCCCCAATAACCTTTCACCCCCTTGCTTAACAAGAATCTATCTACTTCTGCTTTAAGAACATTCACGACTCTTGCTTTCATCTCCTTTTCAGGAAGAGAGTTCCAATGACTCAGAACCCTCTGAGAAAAATATTCTCCTTATCTCTGTCTTAAATCATAGTTAGGGTTGGATTCTGTTTTAGGTTCCGTAAATGAAAGGTTGGAATGCAGTCCTATTCTTCATCGTGTCAAAGCTGGTTCATTTGCTAGCATGCTCACCAAAGTGAGAAGGTTGCGAATTCAAATCACATGGAGTGCAAAAACCTAGCAAACACTCCAATGCGGTGTTGAAGGAGAGCAGCACTGTCAGAAATATTGTCTTTTAGATGAGATTTTAAGATGCCACCTGCCATAAGGTAGACTAAATGATCCCATAATACTATAGTGCTCACTAGTGCCCAGTCCTTGTCCTTCAGAGAGTCACAGAGATGTACAGCATGGAAACAGACCCTTCAGTCTAACGCATTCACACCAACCAGATTCCTATGTAAACCTAATCCCATTTGCCAGCATTTGGCCCATATGCCTCTAAACCCTTCCTATTCTTACACCCATCCAGATACCTTTTAAATGTTGTAATTGTACCAGCATCCACCACTTCCTCTGGCAACTCATTCCATACATGTTCCACACTCTGTGTGAAAAAGTTATGCCTTATGTCCCTTTCAAATCTTTCCCAAATCACCTTAAACCTATGCCCTCTAGTTTTGGGCTCCCCCAACCCGGGGAAAAGACCTTGTCTATGTACCCTATCCATGCCGCTCATGATGTTCTAAACTTCTATAAGGTCACCCCTCAACCTCCGATGCTCCAGGGAAAAAAGCCCCAGCCTATTCAGCCTCTTCCTATAACTCAAACCCTCCAACCCTAGCAACATTCTTGTAAATCTTTTCTGAACCCTTTCTAGTTTCACAACATCCTTCCTATAGCAGGGAGATCAGAATTGCACACAGTATTCCAATAGTGGCCTAACCAATGTCCCGTACAGCTGCAACATGACCTCCCAACTCCTATACTCAATGCACTGACCAATAAAGGAGAGCTTACCAAATGCCTTCTTCACTATCCTGTCCACCTGCGACTGTACTTTCAAAGAACTATGAACCTGCACTCCAAGGTTTCTTTGTTCAGCAAAGGTCCCCAGGACCTTACCATTAAGTGTATAAGTCCTGCCCTGACTTGCCTTTCCAAAATGCAGCACCTCACATTTATCTAAGTTAAACACCATCTGCCACTCCTCAGCCCATTGGCCCATCTGATCAAGATCCTGTTGTACTCTGAGGTAACTTTCATCACCGTCCACTATACCTCCAATTTTGGTGTCATCTGCAAACTTACTAACCATACCTCCTATGTTCACATCCAAATAATTTATATAAATGACTAAAAGCAGTGGACCCAGCCCCAATCCTTGTGGCACACCACTGGTCACAGGCCTCCAGTCTGAAAAGCAACCCTCCACCACCACCCTCAGTCTTCTATCTTCGAGCCAGTTATGTATCAAAATGGCTAGTTCTCCCTGCATTCCATGTGATCTAACCTTGCTAGCCAGTCTACCATAAGGAACCTTGTCAAGCACCTTTTTGAAGTCCATAACGATCACATCCACCTCTCTGCCCTCAACAATCGTCTTTGTTACTTCTTCAAAAAACTCAATCAAGTTAGTGAGACATGATTTCCCACGCACAAAGCCATGCTGTCTATCCCTAATTAATTCTTGCCTTTGCAAATACATGTAACTCCTGGCCCTCAGGATTCCTTCCAACAACTTGCCCACCACCGATGTCAGCCTCACTGATCTATGGTTCCCTGGCTTTTCCTTAACCTTTCTTAAATAGCAGCACCACGTTAGCCAACCTCCAGTCATCCAGCACCTCACCTGTGGCTATTGATAAAACCGATATCTCAGCAAGGATCCCAGCAATCATTTTCCTACCTTCAGTTAACATCATGATAGGTAAGAAATGCAGGCCTCGCCAGCAAAGTCCACGTAGGGCAATCAAGAAAAAAAAATTGTCAGTTATATTTCACAGAATGATAAAAATATACAGAAGGGGGCCAGTCAGCCTGTCACATCAGTACTAGCTCTCTGCAAAAATAACTCCGCTAGCTCCATTCGTCTGCACTTTCCCTGTAACCCTATAATTTCTTTTTTTCAAAAGTTAATTATCCGATTCCATTTGAAAACCACAATCGAGTCTGTTTCCACCAGGACAGTTAGACAAAATGATTAAAAATGATTATAGGATACTTGCCTTAGCTGAAGCAGTTATGAGCAGGGGCGTTATTCTGGAACTGTCTAAAACATTGATTAGGCCACAGCTGGAGTATTGTGTGCAGTACATAATAGGAGGGTTGTGATGGCAGTGGAGAGGGTGCACAGGAGATTTACCAGGATGTTATTTGGGTTTGAGTGTTTCAGTTATGAAGAAAGATTGAAGAGACAGGCATTGTTTTCCTTAGAGCAGAGGAGATTGAGTTGTATAAAATTATGAGGGGTACAGACAGGAAGAAACTTTTCTCCTTGATGGAGAGATCAATGACAATATGGCATAGACTCAAGGTGGGGGCAGTTGTTTAAGAGGAGATGTAATGAAAACTTTCTCACCTGTTAGTGATGGGAATCTGGAACTCACTGCCTGTAAGGGTGGTAGAGGCAGAAACCCTCATAACATTTAAGAAGTATTTAGTTGCGCACTTGTGAAGCCAAGGCATACAAGGCTATGGGCCAAGTGCTGGAAAATGGGATTAGAATAGTTAGGTGGCTGTTTTTCACCAGC